AGAAGGTTTTCTTGTGGATTTATCCTGGTAATTTGTTATTACAAGATGGAAGGCAATTCTCCGGGTGACGATTTAAAGAAATTTTGCCTGCTTTAAACCTTCTTTTACTCTAACCAACCCCTGGGCCCAGCCCATTATTGGGTTGTAGTTTGTTTGGAACCAGGCTGCACCAGTGGCTGTGCACAGCTGTGTGTGTGTGCTGTGCACAGCTCGACTTGTGCAACTGATGGGCCGGTTCCCCTCTCATCCCCCCCTGCCAGGCCGCCAAGCCATAATGGTTTTGGGGACTGCTGCTCTATAGTACTTACTAATTTTGAACCTAAAGGAAGAATAAAATCAAGTTGCCAAGGATACAGTTTATTTCTAGCTGAATTTAAATACAGTCCTCAACTTACAGCCACAATTGAGTCCACAATTTCCGTTGCTAAGCAAGACAGTTATTAAATGAGTTTTGCTCAATTTTATGATCTTTCTTGCCACAGTTGTTAAGTGAATCACTGCAGTTGTTAAGTTAGTAATGTGATTAAGTGAATGTGGCTTCCCCATTGGCTTTGCTTGTCAAAAATTCATAAAAGGTGGTCATCTGTCCCCGGGACACTGCAACTGTCATAAATACATGTCAGTTGCCAAGCGTCTGAATTTTGATCCCATGATCAATGGGGATGCTGCAATGGTCGAAAATGTGTAACATGATCATAAGTCACTTTTTCCAGTGCTGTTGTAACTTAGAATATCACTAAATGAATGGTTGAAAGTTGAGGTCTACCTGTATTTGCAGCCTAAGTTAAACACCAGGCATAGCCAATATGTTTGAATTGGTAATATAATTTTTCCCCCTGCATGTATTCCTCTGCCTCATCATTTTTTGGCTATTTGTAACAATCCTAGATAGGACATATAAAATAATCTTGGATTTACAGGTATCTACACACACACACACACACACCGTCCAATGTTGGATGTAATCCTCTTGGGTTCCTTCCAAAAGTTTCTGCTGAACTATTTTTAATTCAGAAGAGAAGAGAAATATGTGGTGAACAACTATATTAAGTTGAATGCTTTCCAAATAGAAAGGCAAGGTAAAATAACTTCAGTAATAATCACAATAATACAGGTGTGTTTAAATTGATTTAATTAAATGAACAAATTAACATTTTAAGGATATAGGCTTCTTTTTGAAATGCAATTTCTAGCACACTAGTTGAAAGATACTGATAGTTCTCGGCCTCCTGAAGTTGGGCAGGATTATTGTAGAGTTTGTTCACATAAGGAACAAAGCAGGATATTGAAGCAGAATGATTGATTGGGCTGCTGTTTACCATTAGGATAATCCAGCATCACAAATTCCAGACATGATACAGTTTCCTTCATTTGGACACAAGGCCTAGTGTGGTCTTTGTTTTTTTTCCAAATAGCAATTTGCAGTGATCTTTTTTTTTAAAAAAAAAAATATGATATTGGTCAAAATCTACTTATTTCTCATGATAAGAATTTAATATTTTCAACGGTCAGGAGGTGGTTTCTGATTTTTTTTTTAACAAGCATGGGTTTGAAATGCATGCAGTGCATTTATTTAATTATACGAGGTATTCTGGTTCTTATCTTTATCCAGCAATCCGAATAAATGACCCTCCTGTTGCTATTGTCTCTCCCAAAGTCCAGGAGATTTCTTATCCTACAACTTCTGCTTTCATTGATGGAAATCGTAAGTACCATTGTTGTTTTGCATTATAATATAGGGATGTGGAAATCAGTCTTAATCTGAGCCATTATGGCATGGAATATTCTATTCTTTTCCATTATTAGCTAATTATAAACATTTTTTTCCACACTTAGATAGATAAATGGATTGATAAAGATTGCAGTTTACCCTAATTGCCATAATGCATGTTATTTCTTCACAAAGACACTCTTCTAATGCACGGGTGTCAAACCTGATTGCGTCACGTGACATATAGTGACGTATCGTGACATTTTTTTGCCTTTGTGGAGCTGGGGTGGGCGTGGCCTGTGTGTGATGCATCCGGCCCATAGACTGCCAGTTTGACACCCCTATTCTAATACAACCTTTTCCAATTTACTATTAAATGTAATATTCCGAATTCTGTCCTTTTTATAAACAGTCTGTCATGAGATAGATGTTGGCATAGTCTGTGAGTTGCTGGCATGTTAGTGATGTAGAAAACTGGTAATTCTGGTAGAGAACCAATATAATTAGTCATTAGGGGGGGAGGGGATTTCTAAATCATGGAAATACAGAAACCATGATTAAAAAGTTCTCTCTGGATGGCTTTGGACCAGGTACTATTTCTCAGCCCAAACTACTTCACAAGGTTGCTCTTGTTATGAAGAAAAATTGGGGAGAAAGTGCTTTTTATGAATCTAGCACATGAACAGATAAAAAAAATCATAGCATAGAACAGTGATGGCGAACCTTTTAGAGACGGAGTGCCCAAACTGCAACCCAAAACCCACTTATGTATCATCGGGTGCTGGGTGGGCGTGGCCCATTGGGTGGGCGTGGTTGCGGTGGTAACAGCAGACTGGGTGGGACTAAAAAGTTCAATCAATCAATTCTAACTTTGCGAGATCTTTTTTTTTCCCACGAGAAGTTGAAATTGATTGATTGATAGAACCTTTTTTTTTTTTTTGCATATGGCGGTGGAGACCTAAAGCAAAAAGGGTTTATAAAACCCAGCTGAATGCCTAGAACTGGGGCAAGGACGCACGTGCCCACAGAGAGGACTCTGTGTGCCACCTGTGGCACGCGTGCCATAGGTTCGCCACCATGGGCATAGAATATTAATAAGTACTTACTGAGATACTTGCTTATTGACCTATGGCTCTGATATTTTCCTCAAACACAGAAAGTGTAGATGATATTAAAATTGTGAGTTACCACTGGGAAGAAATTGAGGGTCCCTTGCGGGAAAAGAAGGCATCAGCTGATACACCTCTTTTATACCTTTCTAATCTTATTCCTGGCAATTATACTTTCAGGTGAGTGATTCTAATTATTGCTTTCCCAACAAAATACAAACTAAGCCAAGGAATCCTTACTTCTGCATTTAGAGAAATTAGTCGAATTGTTTATATTTAGGGTTAGATCCAGATTGGCCTTTCCATCAGTGAAAGAGTTCCTTCATTCATGGAAAGCAAAAGGATTGAGTAGAAGATCATTAGTGGAGAAATTTTTATGATTTTTCATTCTTCTCTCAGACTGCTCTAGAAGAAATTCTTTGGAATAAACCAAGTGAGTAAGGTTGGAGTTTACTTCCTTAGCCTTATTCAGTTCTGATGTAGTTTGAATCTCTGACTTTATAGCTTCAGAGGCAGGTTGAGAGAACTAGCATTTGTCTTTTCTCAAATGTGTCTGAGATTTCACCATAAAATAAATACAAAAGCCTAATTTCTTATTCTTGTAATTGTGGTTATGAACATAATATTGTATCAATATATATTTTGATTCAAATGTATTAGATCAGGAGGAGATGTAGTAGGCTCAGATGAAAGTGGTCAAAGGACCAGATCACATCCAGCAGTCAAAACTATGAATATGTGTTCAGATGCAGTACCATGAATTTGATTGAATTTTCTCCCAGTTAAATATGCATGGAATTATAGCTTGCATACATAGCTAGGAGATGTGGTTAGGATAACGGCACACTTTTCAGTATATGAATTCTTCACATATTATTTTTTTTTGTTTTTGTTGTTCAGGCTAATTGTCACTGATTCTGATGGAGCAGTTAACTCCACAATAGCTTCCTTGAGAGTCAACAAACTGTTGGATTCTCCTCCTGTTGCCAATGCTGGACCAGATCAGGAAATTAGTTTGCCTCAAAATTCAGTCACATTAAATGGAAACCAGAGTAAGGATGATCAAAAAATTGTCAGCTACGAGTGGTCCCTGAGTCCCAAAAGTAAAAGCACAGTGGTAGCCATGCAGGTAACTGAAGGACATCTTGCTTTATGCCATACTGTTTGTGTTATATCTGAAACTAGTTTTGAAAAGAAATTTGTGGTGCTTCTGAAAACAGGCCAAAAGCCCTGAAATTGGTTGAGATGCTTGCATTGGTGCCTGGTCCTATGTTGACTATCTAACTTTTAACTTTTAAGTTTTACAAAGGAGATTCCTTCTGATTTGTAGAACTTGGAGTTTTGTGAAAATGTGAATTAAAAACAGGGCATTACCTAAAAGCATAGAATAATTAGTCTTGCTGAAGCTAAGCAAGTTTGGGTTTGAACAATGTTTGGATAGGAGCTTCCCTGGAAAACCCACATATATTGCCTTGAGATCCATAACAGAAGAAATATAGAATATTCTATATTCTATAGAATAAATATAGAATATAGATGAACTAAGTCTGTAAAAGAAATAAGGATGTAATTAAACTTGCCTGCATTTCCAATTCCTTTGGGTAGGGCTGCATATGTATCCTTTGGGTATTACCGGTAGTTCCTGAGTGGCATTACATGATTTACGAGTGCGTTACCAGCCACGAAAGGTTAAGTTGTATTAACATGGCAGAGAATGTTATAACTCTTCTACTCGAGTAAGGCTAATGGACATGCCTTAACCATAAATTGCCAGTCAAGTATTAAGCAGCAAATTGCACAGAGCACTCTAAAATTTATTTGACTATTATATGTGAAACATGTGGTGCTTTTAGTTTTGATGCCCATTTTAATTTATTTGAAAGGTAACCGTGTTATAAGTTATAAGAGTGTGTTGGGTTTCATGCATACTAAGCCATAATTGATCGGACAAAGCATAATGTGCTGTATTCACTCAACCTTCCAAATCATAAATCCTACTTTATAAAACACGATGACTGTATTCTTACACTATGCTAGGCCAGAATTAAACAAGCCACATGATGGTTAATGCAACGTGTACACTCTGCATCAGTACTTACATGGAGATCAACAGCAAATATTTCACATGGAAGAGCACACAGCATTATATTGCACTTCCCCCCCCCTCACCTCTGATTTGTGTTCTCTGTGTGATTTTCTAGGGTGTAAGGAGTCCATATCTTCAACTGTCTTCAATGCAAGAGGGAGAATATAAGTTCCAGCTGACAGTAACGGATTTGGCAAATCAGAAGTCAACAACTGAAGTCACAGTAACAGTCTGGCCTGGTAGGGCATCATATAGCTGCCTGACATAGTAGAACATCTGGGCTCGTGAGCTGATGCATCTGACTTTGATGTTAAAAGTAGGAGAGAACAGTGGCCTGCTTTGCAGTGTCCATTATTGTTACCTGCATTGAATAGAAATTGGACCATGGGAATTGAATGCATATAGCAGGTCTCCTATATGGGAGTAATATACTGTAACTGCCTTGTGGGAGAAACCCTGAAAAAATATGGCTTGGAAGGATGGAGTCAGGCACAGGACTCTTGAATTAGAAGGGCTGCTCCCTCCACTGCTCTGGATAAAAAAACCAGAGTGTAGGAGAATTAGATCAAGTCTAATTGATAGGGCATAGGGTAAGAGAATCATGAATGGAGTTGGGGGAGAGATCCCTGTTGTCGCTTCTGCTATCTTCTTCCATAATTGAAGGGGGTAGAAATCATTTTCAAAGTGAGGAGGTGATTCCTTACTTTCTTTGCTTATTTGACTTCTTAATATTCAGCTTCTTCAATTTGCTTACATCTTTCCTGCCAATCTCTCTATAAGGAGATGTTTCTTTTATGTTGGGATGTTTACATTGTCTATAAGCACTTTGGTTAAGAAATGAGCTGGAAATATAAAAATAGACATGAAATCAGAATTGCTTATTGAGCAACCTATGTACCATTTTTTAAAAGAAACACGCACGTCAACCTTTACCAATCTCAGGCTGCCCAGATAGATTGGACTTACAAACCTTCATGGCTATGCTGGTTAGGGATGCTGGGAATTGCGGCATAGCATACGTTGGGGAAAGATGGTTTATCCTTCAATATATTGTTCTCATTTGAATGTTCCCACAGGCACACAAATAATAAAGCAACAGAAGTAGAAATTAAAAGAAAGGAATTGTAAGTATTTCCCAGAAGTGGTCACCCTAATTTTAAAGATCCTCTCCTCAGTTAATGCCTCTGAAGGCAGAGATAGCTTGGGGAAGGAAGATGACCTTGATACATTTTCCCTTCAACATCCCCAAATAGATTTGTACTCTATATACTGCATCTTCTCAGGGACCAGTGCAGGAACTGATTTCAGCAGACGGCATGTCTAGAGGTCCAGGATAAGATATTTTAACTGTATGTTCAAGTTCTTGAGTTTTAGCTGCATAACCTGCTTGCAAAGCAGCCTAAGTACTGCTGTTATGCAGGTATTTTGATGGCCGCAGTTGAGAAGGGATCTGATTGGGTAGCTATTTCTCTTTTAGTTTTGTCATTGCACAATGGCAGTGGCATGATTTATCACAGTGGAATTTCACAGGAAAGATCCTCTGGCACTAGGCAAGGATAGGTTGTATACTTGAGCTCCTTATTAATTTCCATGAAGACATTTGGTTCATCCTCTCTGGTCCTGGCCAAGACCAGAGAGATACCACAGAGGCACCGTTGTGTGGTAGGTTGCACCAGGTTAGTTGGCAGGCTGTGTACCATGGAGGCCTACTCTAGAAATACTTGTTAGTGTTTAAAGACACCTGCATCTAACCTGTATGCTTTCTACCTTTAGTTCTATAAATATAGAAAAACCTATGGGCTGAATCTGTCAGCAAGAATGATTCCCGTCAAGGGTTAAGGTTAAATTATGAGGGATCAATTTTCTGGAGTCTTTTTTTCCATTGGGATTTTTGTAGAAGTAAAAGAATTTTGTAGAAGATGGCAATAAGAAAAGAATATAAAAGAATCTATTCATCCTCCCTAATTCTAATCCCAACCCGTAATCCCAACTTCAATCCTAGCCTTTACCTAACCCCAACCCTAATCCCAATCCTAATCCTAACCCTAGCCCCAACCTTAAGCCTAATCCTAACCTAACCCTTACCCCTAACTCAACCCCCAAACCTAACCCTTTCTGTTCTCTTTACTGATGTTAAAGTTCCTGTAATTCCTTAAAGAGGAGGAAATAGATCTCATTAATACATATATAGAAAGAACATTTGGATTGTATTGTTTTTGACTTTGTTACAGGGCAAAACAAGCCTCCAGCAGCCGTGACTGGCCCTGATAAAATGTTGACCTATCCTATCCGGAGCACTAATCTCGATGGGAGCATGAGCACTGATGACTTAGGGATTGTTTACTATCACTGGGAGAATATCAGGTATTTTGTATGGAGGGAAGATGCACTCCAAGGCATGGGTGACCCTGGACTGAAAAGGTTTAAGGAAGGCAAGGAGAGTGGAAAGCTAAAGTAAACGAATATTTCATGTGGGGTGACACAGAGTGTTGGGGAAAAGTTACGTAATAGTCAGGACGGCAGCTTTGCCTATGTAATTATAGCCACCACCTTAACTTTTTTTGACCCATGTTATAGATGCCTGTATTTAAATCCTGCTGATTGTATGATTTGAATAGGAAATCTTAATGGTTCTTAATCGCCTATCTCTAGTTTGAAACATTATCAATGCTGTTTCCTACAGAATTGTGACCTCTTGGAAAAAATAACGTTTCCAGAGCAGTTCATGGTGAAGTAGGTGCCAAACATGCTACACTTTATATTAATACTTGTCCATTAACTTGGTTACATTGACAAAGTCAGGGAAGGTGACATAATAGATGTACAGGTAATCCTTGACTTACAACCATTTGTGTAGTGACACGACCATTGCAGCATCCCCACGATTATGTGATTCAAATTTGGACGCTTGCCAACCGACATGCATTTATGATGGTTGCAGTGTCCCAGGTTCCCCTTTTGCTACCTTCTGACGACAAAGTCAACGGGGAAACCAGATTCACTTAACAACCCTATTACTAACTTACCAACTGCAGAGATCCACTTAACAACTGTGGCAAGAAAGGTCGTAAAATAGGGCAAAACTCACTTCACAACTGTCTTGCTTAGCAAAAGAAATTTTGGGCTCAGTTGTGGTTGTAAGTCAAGGATCACCAGTGTAGTGATTAAGGTACGAGATTAGAAACCAGGAGACTCTGAGTTCTAATCCTGCCTTGGGCAAGAAAGCCACCTGGGTGATTTCGGTCCAATCATTCTCTCTCAGTCCAACTCACTTTACAAGGTTATTGTTTGGGGAAAATAGGAAGAGGAAGGCATATTTCTGTGTGCATACTTATCACCTTGAGTTATTTATAAAGTAATATGAGCAGGCTCAGGAATTCTGGGAGTTGAAGTCCACGAGTCATAAAAGAGCCAAGGTTGCCTACCCCTGTCCTAGGATTACGATTTTTTGATGGATGTCTTAAATAATTAGTTCACCAAGTGTTTGTTCAAAATAGTGTTCACAGTGCCATTTTAATTTCTAGAATTCTGTGCTTCTGAACAAAGTTTAGCAAGAGAAGATACTGTATGTTCATCACCTTTGCTATGATGACATGTGACTGAACTAGTGGCAAATCATGTAACTAGAATATTTGCAACCTGAATTTGGGTTTGCTTACTTAGAAACACGTTGAGTCTTACTCCCTTATAATTAGTGCTTGGGTTATTGACTCAGACTCAACTTTTCCTGTTTAGCCATTTTGAGAATGACTGTGATGAATTAAGTTTGCCTCTTGAAGAATCAGAACCCTGGATGCCATTGTTGTTGAGATTTGTTCCATGTAGTTATTCATTTAATAAATAACTATATGGAGCAAATTTAATGCATGTACACTCATCTTAAAACAAACCTCTGGGCAGCTCACAGCAGTAATAAAACTACAAACCATAAAATTCTAAAATCATAAAAACAAAACTAAAACCAAGGACTAAAATACTTGACACTTCAGTCATCTCCTGGGATGCCCCAGCAGCTTGCAATAATTTTTTAATAGTTGTTCATTTGCTAAATCATATCTGACTCTTCATGATCCTATGCCAGGATCCCTGTCCTCCATTGTTTCCCAGAGTTTGCCCAAATTCATAGAATAACAGAGTTGGAAGGGACTTCAGAAGTCTTCTAGCTCAAGCAGGAGACCCTTACAGAATCATAGAATAAGAGAGGTGGAAGGGACCTCAGAGTTCATCTAGTCCAGCCCTCTGCTCAAGCAGGAGACCCTATTACCATTTCAGACAAATGGTTGCCCTATGTACTGTTCCAATTAGTAATTAATATATTACAGTAATCATGGCCAGTAGGAACTTTTCCTTTTCTGCCCCCGTTTGCTGCCGGCCAGGACCTCCGTCCCCCTGCTTTATAAGGGGGGGTCTAACTCCTGCCCCCCCCCGGTCAGCCCAACTACTTCCTGCCTTCTCCCGTCACCATTCCCACGGCCACTTTGTCCACTCAGCAACTTTCTTCAAGGTGACTGGACCCCCCAACATCCCGTCATGTGCTCCCCTTAGCAGCCGGCCCCTCACAACGCCTAGCAATGGCGACCGCCCCTCCCCGCCTCCAGGCGATGTCGCACTCATGTTCATTGCATCAATGACACTATCCAACCATCTCTTCCTCTGCCGTCCTCTTTTCTCCTTTTGTCTTCAATCTTTCCCAACCTCAGGGTCTTTTCCAATGAGTCCTCTCTTCTCATTATGCGGCCAAAGTATTTCAGCTTCGGCTTCCAAAGAACACTCAGAGTTGATTTCCTTGCTTGCAATAATGCTTTTAAATGTTGAGCTAGAATTGGATCCAGCATTATGGGTTACTTTGTTTTGCCACAGTGGGCCAAGTTCTTTGCGTATGGAGAATGCTGATAGCGCAGTGGCAACTGTCTCAGATCTACAGATTGGAACCTATCATTTCAGACTGACAGTCGAAGATGATCAAGGGCTGAGCAGCACCGCCATACTTTCTGTGATTGTTCAGGAGGGTAAGGTTTTCTGTCCCACGTTTTTGAAGACATTTCCTGACTATATGTTTCTATTCCTCTCCTATATTTTAGATATTCAGGGCTTCCATTTTAATCTTTCCAGTCCTGATCCAATTGTCTAACCACGGATAAGCAATTTGGGGCTTGCTAAATGGTTGGGGCTGTTTTGATCCATCACTTCAGCATTTACATTCAATTATCTGGCATTCTTAGAATCTTCTTAATACAAGCTTTACCTTTGGGCTGTATTATCATCCTCTTTTCTTGTTTGAACAAATCTTTCCCTTTGTTGTATTTAGGCAGCAACTCTCCGCCAAAGGCCCTTGCAGGGGGCAAACATATCCTTGTTCTCCCCAATAACTCTATTGCTTTGGATGGGTCCCACTCTGTCGATGACCAAGGAATTGTGTCTTATCTTTGGATCCGGGTACCGGTCTCAGGTCGTCGACCACATTCATAAATTTCATAGATTAACCTGGTTTACCTTATAAAAAGACTCAAATAAAAATAGTCCGATAGACAAATGACGAATACCTGCGATTATACTCGGTAGTTTAACTCTTAAATTGATTTAACCCTACCTTGGCGAAGTCCGTTTAGTCGACCTCTACGAAGACAAAACTTTTGAGGAGTAAAGACAAGATTCATGATTTTGAGGGTACATACCTCATGGTGTACCTGTTAGCCAGTACAGGTAGTCTTTGACTTACCAGCATAATTGAGCCTAAAATTTCTGTTGCTAAGTAAGACAGTTGTTAAGTGAGTTTTGCCCCATTTTATGATCTTTCTTGCCACAGTTGTTAAATGAAGCACTGCAGTTGTACATGATCTCAGGACACTGCAACTGCCATAAATATGAGTCAGTTGTCAAGCATCTGAATTTAGATCACGTTACCATGGGGATGCTGCAATGGTTGTAAGTCTGAAGAACAGCCCTAAGTCACTACTGTTGTAAGTTGAGGACTACCACTAGGTCCTAGACCAATTTTATGACATTACCAATTTTATGACATTCAGGCTGGCTGTCACTGCGAGAGAGAGAGAGAGAGAGAGAGAGGGAGGGAGGGAGGAAGAGAGAGAGAGAGAGAGAGAGAGAGAGAGAGAGAGAGAGAGAGAGAGAGAGAGAGAGATTATTATTATTTTGTACACATCTTCTTTGCTTTTGCAGGATGCAATTCTTGGCTCCAACCGTGAGGCTGTCTTACAGCTAACTAATCTTGTAGAGGGGAACTACATGTTTCACTTGAAAGTCACTGATGCCAAAGGAGAGTCAGATATTGACACGGCTGTTGTGGAAGTATGGCCTGGTAAGCTGTTTTCTAAGACATTTATACAGCCTAAGCTATTTTTCCCAAAGGTGTTTTTTCCCAAGGCAGCAGGACTTTCTTGTTTTTCTTTGAAGACGTTTCAGTTCCAATCCAAGAAGTTCAGAGCTGAAGAAGCTTCTTGGATGAGAAGCAAAACTCTTCAAAGAAAAAGAAGAAAACCTTGTTGCCTCAGGAAAGAAGCACCTTTGGGATAACTATAACCTGGAAGACTGAGAATCTCCATAGACATCTAAGCTATTTTATTGCATTATTCCCAAATTCCTTTTCTTTGGCAAAATGGTTGAAAATCTTCCCAATCCAGATGATCAGGTCTTGGGTCAGATTTTCTTTTGATGCAGAGGTTTTAGGGTAGCTTTCCAAACTTTCCATTTCAGTTCATAGCACATGCTTAAAGTACATCAGAAGCATCATCCAATCAGATGCTTTGAACTTTTGTTGACTTATGGGCATTTCAACAGTATGGAAGTATTTGCCATCTTCAAGTTATTTTTTTTTTATTTCTTAGCTTGAAACTTTGGAATTTCCTGGCATTTTCTCATTTAAGTATCCAACTAAGGTTAGCTAGGTGTTACCTCCAAATATTACTGTCATGTAGTTAGGCATTATGTGACAGGCTCTCAGGAAAAGCTTTTTTTTTTTTCATTTACAGACCCAAAGAAAAATGGGCTTGTGGAATTGATCTTGCAAGTTGAAGTTGGTCAACTAACTGAACAACAGAAAGATACCCTCATGCAACAGGTAGCAGCACTCCTGGATGTCGTACAAACAGACATTAATATCCGGAAGATACATGCTTATTCTGATATCAGGTACAAGGAGATAGGAAAAAATAGTTTTTACACACACACACACACACACCACACACACACACAGAGAGAGAGAGAGAGAGAGAGAGAGAGAGAGAGAGAGAGAGAGAGAGAGAGAGAGAGAGAGAGAGAGAGTAATTATTATTACTTTGTACACATCTACTTGGATATTAGTCCCATTGAACTTATTCATAGTAGACATTAAGATTGGGCATTAAACCTTAATTATTCATATGTGAATAATTTTATATATAATTTTATATATAAAATCCTGTGGTTCTGAAACTTTATACTTTGCAATGTCTTGTTTTCCATATTTTATTTCATGGGACAGAAACTTAGCAGTTTTACCAGCAGCCAATGTAGGAGATGACTAGACTGAGCCCGAGGGAGGGGTCAAACGTGTCATCAGTCATGAGTCCCTTTGCCCCCACAAGAGATCTGAGTCCAGCCCATGTTAACCCTTATTTACGACCAATTTCCTTTGGCCGTTAGTAGTTCAGATTCTTGTAGAGAACTTAAGCTTGCAATAAAACTTGATACTCATTTGAACAGCCTAGATTGCCCCGGTGCTTGACAGCCAATTATATGTTTACAATTGCAGGGTTATTCTAGGAAGAAAGAATCATAATTGGGGTAGGTGGTGCTAATCCTAAAGAAAGATTTCTGATTGCTGTAATAAATCTATTGTTATTTAATCTATGCATCTTCCTTTCAGCACTGCTGTTGTGTTCTATGTTCAGAATGGGCATCCCTACAAAATCATAAAGGCTTCAGATGTTGCCCAAGTGCTGCGTTTGCAACTCTTGAAGGAAAAGCCAAATTTTCTACTTTTTAAAGTGCTTCGTGTTGACACAGCTGGTATGTATTTGAATGCCCTTGTCCATGGCAGGAAAAAAAATATATATCAAAGGGTAGTTTTCACTCTTAAAAGTAGCCCAGTGTTAATTTTAACTACGTACAGTAAATAATTTCAGTTGCTTTGTGATTTCCAGCTTGCCTCTTAAAATGTTCCGGACATGGAAGCTGTGACCCCATCACAAAGCATTGTATTTGCTATCAAATGTGGATGGAAAATTTGATACAGCGATACCTAAGCGGTGGGGAGAGCAATTGTGGTGAGTTGGGATAATATGTTTCCCAGTAATAGCCTAAGTCTGTTAAGATATTATTTTAATATTGATAATGCACTGTAGAAGAAAGACATGTGCTGTGGTAATGAAGTCTATTAAACCAACAATTTGTCAAGGGTAGTATGAGGATTCCTAGGGAACTAAATCTACTGGAGTTGGAAGGGTTGGGCAAAAAGTATAAATATAGGGTTGTAATCTACGTTCATTCAGTACCCCAAACGTAGTATCACTGTATTACACCTCAAGAAAAACCACCTACCCGTCGATATTACATAAACAAATTATTTACTTTACGTAAAATATGCACAGTACGGAACGGAGAGGAACATCTAATGGTAGACCCTACCTAAATGGGTCCTTTGATTCTAACTTCAAATGTTCCAATTTTGTCTTCTAGAATGGAGTATACTCTACGTATCAGCATCTGCTTTCATCGTAATTGCATTGGTGGTAGGGTTAATTTGGCTTTGCATCTGCTGTTGCAAAAGGTAATAGTCCTCTATTCCAGGGCTTTTCAACCAGTGGTACGGGTACCACCTGTGGTACATTGACACCTGGCAGGTGGTACGCGACCATCCTAGAAAAGTAGCGGGGGAGGGGAATGAGCTGAACCGGTGGCAGCACCGCACAAGCCTGAGCGAGAGACGGCTGGAGCTGCAGGGCTGTCAGGGCTCAGCGGAAGAGCCAGGATCAGCACCAGGCTCCAGCTGGAGCTCGGCGCTGATCCTGGCACTTCTGCTGAGCCCAGAAGAAGCGCCGATCAGCTGGAATGTTGCAGCCTCTCCAGGGTCTTTACATTCAGATGCTTGGCAACTGATTCATATTTATGACAGTCACAGTGTCCCAGGGTCATGTGAAGTGACCAAAACCTGCTGCAACCACCCAGCAGACGGGGGGAATAAAAACCGAACACCCCCCACCCCACCCCCACTGCCAATCCTCAACAGAAATGCTCACAACAATGAAAACCTCGAACGGGAGGAAGAGTGCGGCCGGACGGGCAGGCAGGTGTCTTGCTCGGCTGTGGCTTGGGGGGGCGCACTTTTTTCAGTGCCGTTGTAACTTCGAACAGTCACTAAGCGAACTGTTGTAAGTCGAGGACTAGCTGTACTTTATCACTTTTTTCCTTTTTTTGGGGGGGTCATCAAGTTTTTGACACCTTGCTAGGTGACTGGTGGTACTCGGATATTGCCATATCCTAAAAGTGGTACAATGGGTGAAAAGGTTGAAAAGCCCTGCTCTATTCAGTTTAAACCAGGGATGAGGAAAGTCAAAGCATTGTTTTTTTTTAAAAAAATAAACATTAGTAGCTGCCAGTGTGATAAAATGTCATGCAAATGGTGGCCCTGATTTTCTGGTTTTTTTTTTGTAGTAATAGTATCTCAAGTAGCACTAAATCTATCCAAAGCTTACAGCAATTTGAGACTGGTGTGAAATTAACATTGTTATGTCTGATAATTTGCTACTGGTTTGTAGGAATGTAATTATGACAGGCTTTGGGACCACTTCCCCCTCCCCCTAAAAATTGCAAGTTTAGACTGTAGGCTACTCTTCTTTGGTTTGTGATGCTCACTAGCATACGTTAGACAATCATATTTAATTATAAAGATGTTTTAAAAGGACAGAACTATTTGCTCTTTAATAATTCCATGGATTTGGAAAGTTAATGAAGTTATTAAACAGATGTGCTGTTTAATACTCCCAGAATTCCTAGGCATCCTGGCCAGTTAGTTCCATCACATCTTGAAGAATCTGATGAGACAATTTAAAAATAAGCTCTCCCCCTATATATTTGTGATTACTCATAACACAGTAGAATGGGCAAAATGTGCAATAAGCTGTCTAGCTGGATAACATATTACATGAAGCTATAGTATGATTTACCTAAGCTTTTAAATGTAAAACACTATTATCAACCATGCTTTATAAATACATTGCCTGCTTTCATAAAGAGCCATAGCCAATTAAACTAGTGTTATGTCTGTGAACAGGGTGAACCCAATCCTTTTGGGCTGTGACTATCCAAAGTGCCTTTAACCACACTCAAGACATCCATATAGACTTGGTTATTTGTAAATGGGCACAGGGTTATACTGGGTATGGTCACACCTGTAGGGCAGCTGCACTTGCCAAAAGACATGAATAGCAGTTTATGAATGAGGCTTGGGAGTAAAGGTATGCATCGTTAGGAAGTTGGTTTCCCAGAACCTAATTAATACTCTTTAATTCATAGCCAAAAGAGGACCAAAATAAGAAAGAAAATGAAATATACAATTTTGGACAACATAGATGATCAGGAAAGAATGGAGCTCAGGCCCAAATACGGTATGACATTCCTTTATTATTTCTTTCATTCTAAACTAAAGGATTATGATTTTACAGTTGAGGAGAGATTTGCCTCTGATGGAACAAGCTGGTAATAAAACTTCATGCCATAACAAATTAGTAATATTATAAAACTATAAAGATCTTTTGCATTGTTCACAGATAATCACTGTGAAAAAAACACTGATTTTAGCAAATTTATTTCAGTCACTTTGAATCTGTTTGCACTGAAGTAGAAACAAGATCAGGGTTTCCCAACCATGGCAACTTTAAGATGCGTGGACTTCAATTCCCAGAATTCCTCAGCTGGCTGGGGAATTCTGGGAATTGAAGTCCACACATGTTAAAGTTGCCAAGGTTGGGAAACCTTGAACAAGATGTTTCAATTTAACTGTTTCTAGGGGTAATCCTTTTGACTGTAGTTAATTAATTTTGCCATTAATGCAATGGTTTTATTTTGGGTCAGTCTATGAATTCAACCAACCAATTACAATTAAAATAAAACACGAAAGACTAGTTGAACATCATGTAGTTAGAAGGATTTCCTACCTAAGAGGACCGCAGGGCAACCTAATCCTCATGCTTTCCTTCCACACAGGTATCAAACACAGAAGTACTGAACATAATTCCAGTTTGATGGTTTCAGAGTCTGAGTTTGAGAGCGACCAGGATACCATATTTAGCAGAGAGAAGGTTGAAAGGGAAAACTCCAGAAACATGATGAATAGTGACATGAAAAATGGGATCTCCTTCAGCTACAGCTCAAAGGATAGATAAATGGATGCACGGCTTTCTTAGGAAAATGGTTACTTCAGGGCACTGAAGCCTGGACAGTTCTCTATTTTCCTAAAGTACCAAAGAAGCAGACAAACTCATAAATTTCCAGCATGGCAAAGGAGAGGGGAATACCATCGATATTTTGCTGTTTTTCAAGCAGTCTTTTTAAGCCACGTTTTTTTAAAGCCTGTTTATCAGAGGTGGCATTTACCTCATGTCTCATGGACTTCTAAAAATTTACTATTAAAATCTTAACCAAGGCTTCTATGTTACAAGATCATAGAGGAAAACCTCCTTATATTAGTCTTCTTAGAACAGAGTGAACTTGTCTGTATAGGAAGCCACTTCTATCAATATGAAAACTTATCAGAGTTATTAAAACTGACATGTAGACAAAACAGTTCTCTTAACTTTCATTTGCTCAATAAATGAGAGTGTATGAGTGTGGGGATGAATAGGGATCAAGTTATATATCTGCTAAACTCTGCTTTGAGAATATCGTGCTGTTAAACATAAATCGTGTTTAGATTTATGACAGGATGAGTCATAAAACATACAACTACTGATTAGCAGTAATAGTGCAATATAAGGTGAATATATGGAAGGAATATACGTTCAGATATGAATATGTTTTGGAGGGAATAAAAACTGACTCCGTGCAAAACCTTGCTTTTTGCCAATCTGTGTGGGAGTGAGCACAAGGCTTGCTTTTCTTCCTGTTGGATGCAGCCATTGGAAAACCCGTGGCAAGCTATGTGTGGCATAATCCTCTCGACTGTCTCCCATCTTCAGGATCCTCTTTTAGAAAGCTAGATCTAGGATTAAAGATTGCTTTGGCTGTTCAGAAAAATAAGTACCATTTCATACAAGGATCTTTCCAGGATAACTTGGATGAGAGCTGTTACTCAGACCTGCACTTTATTCTACCTAGAGGCTCAGTAAAATATAGTTGGGATAATAATCTAGTATTTTCCTTAGTGGTTACCATAAAAAAGCTCAAACTTTTAAAATTTTGAATTAGCTGTTGAATAATTTCTTAGGGATTGTATCGTGTCATCTAAACTAATCTAAATGTGTGTGAAATTATTTTGCAGGACATAAATAGGATGATTATATATATGAAGCCAATAGTGGATATATATGCATGTACATTCTGTACATAAACAAGGTTACAAATGAGATGTTTTATTGGATATGAACAATGATGAATGGAAAAGAATCTTAATGCATCTATTGGCCAATAAAACCACACACATCTCAAGCAAAAAAAAGGAGATCAAGCTATTTACACGATTAAGTGATCACAGATGTTATGTGTAACCTCAATTTCCTCAAAATCTAGATCAGCTATAGGAGCTTTCACATCTACTAAACTTTGTTCAAGTAGAAGGCTTATGGAAACTACTTTACCATCAACATCTATTCTAATAAAGTGTATCATTTCTCCCCCTCCCATTTTTTTCTCTGTAGTTTATGAGAACATGACAGAGAAGGAGAAATAGTATTGCAAATCAAATTTGACAATAAATGTAAATGTCCAATTTTTATTACATTAGCAATTCATTGTTAACTTTCATATCTGGTAAACAATGTAAAAAAAAAAGTTGATCATGTAATTAAAAAAAAACTTAATTCAGATGTTCCCTTATATGAATGTAAACATATATTGTATAGTATTTTCCTTGAAATTAAAATATATAATAGATCATTACAGTATTCATTTGTGCTATAATCAAACAGTTTGAAATGTCTTCCATACCCTTAAATGGCACAATATTTTATTTATGAAATATTCCATTTGCTAACATTATGTATCAAGCATATTTGGCTTCTACTCTTTTTTAAGGAAAGAGTGAGAATGTTACAAATGGTACTTTTGAGAACTGCCAGAATCTGAATTTTTCTAGTTCTAGTTGTTAAGAAAAAAATAACGCACAGTAATGAAAGCTGATTTAAAACAAGTACTCTGTATAATTGAACTTCATGCTGTTCAGGAGACTATGCAGAGCGCTTCTGAAGCCAAGGGTTGACTCTCAGAAGCAGATGTTATCTAGCAGAGGGGTTTAAGGCCCAAGGAGACCTTAACTGCCTCCCCCAAAAACAAGGAACAAAAAAGTAATACAACATTTCAATGCAATTTGGACATATAAAGTGCACATTCAGTTTAATGCAGCACTATGTCAGGGCCATCCAAATTTTCCCATCTCATTTAAAAAATAATCCGTATTTATTACAAAAGAGAATAATAAACCATTCAAGTTAATTCTGCAGGAACCAAACGATTCATCCATAAAAGCACTGAGAAGTTTTGTATAGCAGCCCCATGGATCAATTTTTATTTTTTTAAAAAATGAGCTTATGAACATGTATCAATGAAATCTAACTATTTATGTAGCTACTGGTCCCAAGCAGGTCTGAATGAATCTATTATGTATATTAATATTTATTGTTATAATTTGGCTTTCTTACACTGTCTCATAAAATCTATAAGGATTCCATTTTTCTGCCAAATCAAGAGTCTCTGAAGACTGTGTACATTATAGTTTGGCAGGAATGATTACTGCCCATCAATCTGTGCTTAACCACAGGCTACAAATTGCAAATCTCTTCTTAAATAAGCCTAGTCCCATTGATGAATAGGATATTAGAAATGAATATATATCCACCAGGAAACCTATATTTCAGATGATAGCTGAAGAACAACTATTGGTATAAAAACTGGATTTTTACCCAATTAATTAAAAAACAAAGTATTAGAAAAAGAGTAAAATTCAAAATTTGGCACAAATATTTAAGATTCCGTCATTTTTATAACCCTCCACATGTGAGAAAAAATTAGTAGCGATGCTGCCCTATTTGTTCCAAAAATATTAATAAAGTCTTCCAAATTCTTCCAAAGGTCAACAGCACATAGGATTTGTTTCCACATTAGGACCAAGATAGATAATACTAACATTTGCGATCACAATGTAATTATGAAGAACTGTTTTATATGTATTGACATAATTTCAAGTACAGACATCGCTACACGTAAACCTGATCACAGTTATTTTAGGAAAATAGAAAAAAAAAATCCAAGTTAGCTTGCTAAGGAAAGCCAATGAAAGGCCAAAACTATAGTCCTAGTTTGTCTACTGTGCTAACAACGGCTATTGTAAACCTCCCAAACAAACATATTTTATTTCTAAATACTCATCAATACCGTATTTAGAACCTTCTCTTCCTAGCCCTGATTGTTTGACCCCACCAAATGGACACTCCACGGAAGATATAATCCCTTCATTAACGCCGACCATTCCAACTTCCAGCTTCTCAGCGACTCTCCAAATCTGGCCCGGGTCTTGAGAATAGAAATAGCCTGCAAGTGTGAGTAAAGGAACAGAAAGTAACTATAATGCCCAATGCATTTGAAAGCTTTACTAAAACACACACGCAAAAAGGCCAAATAAATCCTAGTGACAACCAGGAAGACTCTCATATGTTCCAAACTCCTGCTGAAGAATAGAAAGACTAAAGTATCATTGCTGTCCTTCCTCTTTTTTTTTTTTTCCACAAGAAAAAGAAAAGTCCAATTATTTCCAATGTGACGGAATTATAGGTTAGGACCATTCACTTGGTGACCATTCAAAGCCACAATGGACCCCCCCCCAAAAAAGGTACTTACGACTCAGATTTGGTCGGTCTGTTCTGATGGCCCCCTTCAGATTTTGGGTGCTTGGCAACCCGCCTGCATCTATGGCTGGCTGATGTGTTTCATGGTCACATGACTGCAATTTATGGCTTTTTTTGGCCAGAAACCCCTCCCCCCCTTGCTTCATGACTGTTGTATTCGTTGCAGAAAAGTTTGGAAAATCAGGTGCAGTCATGTGATGACCTGGCATTACTTATGACTTAATTATGGTAGTAAGTCAAAGGAAAAGGTTAACAACTCTCTGTGGATTTTACTTTGCTAGTCCTTGATGACTATAAGGGGTGGTGCTCATCCCCCATTTCAAGGCCATTGAGCCAGCGCTGTCTGAAGACATTTCCATGGTCATGTGGCCAGCATGACATCACAGAGTGCTGTTACCTTCCCACTGAAGTGATACCTATTTATCTACTTGCATTTGCATGCTTTCGAACTGCTAGGTTGGTAGGAGCTAGGGGTGGGAGCCCACCCTGTCATGTGGTGCTCAGGTTTTGAACCTGAGCTGCTGGCTTTCCAGCCGACAAGCCCAGCGTCTTAATCACTGAGCCGCTGCACTGCCAGGTAGTAAGTCAAGGACTACCTTTATTTCACACCAGCTCTACTAGTAGTATGCATTTTTCTCCTGTTTGGGAATTCAGTTAGCTACAACCTCAGAGATGCTAGTCAAAGTATGCATGAGTATGTATCATCTTGACTTCCTTGAGCATATCATTTTTTCTATCCTACTATTTAAAAGCACATACCTGCTAAACCCACATTGGCTGAATTTGCAATGGCGAGTGCTTCCTCCTCTGTATCAAATCTGAAAAAGTGGAAATATGACATCACTGGGGTCAAAAAATAATTTGTCCTAATGTAAAGAAGCACACTGTGATATTCTTATACCCTTGTGTAATAGAAACTTCCACAATTCCCTATCAGATAATTTGGAAAAGCATACATTTAGATGAACTTGTTTATTTTGGAAAAGATCTGAAAATCTTGAAAGATCTCTGGCTAGGGGGAAATATTGAGGCCTTCGTCTCATATTCATTTAAAGATAGTTAAACAAGTGACAGCTCTGATGTGGTACATTAATATGCAGAATTCCTCTATGAAAGAAAGAAGGAATAGCAACACAAGTTATATATGTACCATGCATAACACATGAACATCTTCAGAAAATTATCCCAGCAACATTCATTGATGCAAGATGTTTTTCCTTCCTTTTCATCTGGTCACAAAATTTGAAAAATGGAATGAACAGCAAAACCTTACTTCACAGGCAAATTTTTCCAACTTTTCCTGGCTGTGATGATTCTAAAAAAATGTAACCATAACTGAATCATCACAGAACTAACAAAATCATTATGTTTTCTCTAGAATCTTTAATTCCAGAATGGTTGGGAAGGATAATAGAATAACAGAAGGATTGCAGGGGGCAGAATGTGTGTGAGACAGGGAAAAGAACAGTATGCCAACAAGTGATTGAAAAAATATCTATTTCAGAAATACACAGACCCATACACACACAAAATGGGCTAATAACAACCCAGTTTCCCTTCCAGTATGTTTTGTGGCAAAATAATATGTGTACTGTTTCACTGATTTTATTGCAAAATCTTTTTATTCTTGTTAGCTGCCCAGACTCTTGGAGAGTCATGCAGAATACAAGTCTAATAACATATTGTTATTCATAGAGGAAGATTTCTGACAGCAATTTAGTGATTTGAGATGATTACATAGTTATCTGTTTGAAATGCTTAATGACTTACTTGATAACTGGAGCCAAAGGCCCAAAAGTCTCCTCTTGTGTACATAACATATTTGTTGACACATTGCAAAGCAGAGTTGGCTCAAAGAAATTTTTCCCATAACTGTGCCTTTTTCCTCCAGTAATTATGGATGCTCCTTGGGACACTGCGTCATCAATGTGACTTTCAACCTAAGAACACATCAAACTTAGGACAAGCTCTTAATTCAAAGTAAAATGTTGTAGTAAATGTTATTGTATAACAGCAAATAATAAACATGACTTTTGTATGCATTTTAACCATTTTTCTTTTATAAATAATTCTTACTTTTTCTACTGCTCTTTCATTAATTAATGGCCCTTGGGTAGTCCCTTCATCAAATCCATGGCCAATACATAGTTCCCTCTCAATGGCTTGGGCAAACTTCTTGACAAATTCATCATGGATCCCTTTCTGCACCAAGAAGCGGTTTGCACATACACAGGTCTGGAAGGTAAGCAAGATGGGGTCTCTGTGAACAACAGCTGAAATATCTAGAAATTAGAATTATACAACTCTTCCCCATTCAGCCTTAGTGTATCTCTTATTTTGTTCATCTTTCATCCAAAATATGGAAGCCATTTAATTATTATGGGTTGTTAGCATACGTGACTTGGGAATTAGAAGCTTACAGATAGCAATTTACATGTTTTCATAAAGTTTCTATGTAATTCTTTCATCTGCTTATTCAAAAGATGCTATTTCAGCATATCATTCTTATATTTTAGCTTTAATAGCAGTACAGATCAGCCTTTCCCAACCGGGATTCTGCCAAATATATCAAAATTGCAAAAACGGCAGCCCCACATATAGGTGATTAAGATCTTCCAATTTCTTAATAGTCTGGGTCAATTTTTCTCATAAAGTCAAATTCAAAGCTCTCAATAATTTTTGCCCTAATAATTCTAAGCTGTAACCTCCAAAAAAGATGTAGATAATAGGAATATTATTAAAATTTGATGCAACAATTATTTTCAACAAACAAAGAAGCAAAAGGATTTTTCAGTTTTTAAAAGTTATTTCATTGATAAAATATAAGATCCCCTCACAAACTGTTGGGCATATACTGCCCATTCCTCCACATCTTCTTCATCACACTGGAGAAGATATGACAATATTCTTATAGGAGTTAAATGCTCCCGTAGTAATGTAAGCAAAGGCTCATATAACAAAGCTGAGTACAACTGCAATAGCTGGGTTCACATGAAATTGCAAAGTAAAAACCTAACAAACCATGCTATTTATTTAATTTATATTTTATTTATATCCCCACCCATCTCATCGGAGACAATTCTGGGTGCTTACAAACATTAAAACTAGTACACATTAAAATAATAAACAATAAATAAAAACAGTATTAGATACTGTTAAAAGATGAGGAGAGGGGCACACAAAACACATGGGGAGAGGTGGTGTCTTTCCTAATCCAATAGTCGCCTCCACTGTGATACTCTCCCATTGGAGCCCCAAGCTAACTGGCAGACCCAGATCTTTAGGCTCTTATGGAAGATCAGGAGGGTTGGAGCCAACCTCAGTCCCGGGGCCAAGATATTCCAAAGGACAGGAGTGATGGCAGAAAACACTCTTCTCCTGGACCCTGCCGGCTGGAATGCTCCAGCTGACAGGGTCTGCCACATGCCTCCTCTGCCGGCGAGGGTGGAGCAGGTCAATCTCAGTGGGACGAGACGGTCGCTCAAGCAGCCTGGACCCATGCCATGAAGGGCTTTAAAGGTGATTGCCAACACCTTGAATTGCACTTGGAAGCATACCAGCAGCCAATGCAGCTCGTGGAACGGTGGGCCGCCCTAGGAAATGCCTGTGCTGCCGTATTCTGCACTAGTTGTAGCTTCCGAATACTCTTCAAAGGTATACGGGCCTATTATACTTGTGCCGTTAAGATCCTAGTGAAAAAGTTTTACTCGTTGCCATTAAGTGAATTGCATACAAATTTAAATAATAATAAATATTACTGATCCTATTTTCCTCAAATGTAAGAAGCAATCAAAACTTAACAAGGTTTTATGTAGCTCCATGCTTAGCGGGAAAAACAGGTTCACAAGATTAAACAAAATAAGACAAGCTCACCTGCCCTGAATTTCTGTATTTAGAAATTAAAGCTCCAGCAACTGCTTTGTCTACGTCAGCACTGTCGAAGACTATGAAAGGAGCATGGCCTCCGAGCTCCATGGAAACCCGCTTTACCGTGCCAGCAGCATGGCATAGCAATACCTGTAAGTATAACAGCAAACATGAAAAGCTAAGAATAATATTTTCCTAAAGCCAATATTACAACTACCAGTTTCTTAAATTACCAGTTTCTTAAATAAATATCCATTTAAATCTTGGATAGACCAGTATTCATTTTCATATTATAACTCATATGCTGTGCTTGTGTGCACTTGGATCCCTTAATCTGCCCCAATCCTATTTGATCCTGAACCAGTGAAAATTTTAGAGAGTGTAGTCTGAGAAACTACTCAGGATGGGGAAAGTGGTCTGAAATCAAGATTTTTTCAAACAGCTACGTGGAACCTTATGGTTCTGCAAAAGCTCAACGGGTTCTATGAGAGACCAAAAAAAGAGTTCACTAATATTCTACCACTAAAGCTTTGCCTCTTGATCGAGGAAGTTTCACTTGTTTTAAATAGTAACTTTTAATCCAGATTAAACATTTTTGAAAACCCCAGCTTAAGTCAATCAACAGGGATTATGCTTCTTAAAGGTTGAATTTCAAGAAATGAGTTTAAATGCATGCATTCCGAAATTTTTTAAGGTGAATACTCAAAGCCACAAATTAGTTGCTCCAAAAGGTATCCGTTAAACCAGGAGTAGGCAACCTTGGCTCTTTTATGACTCGTGGACTTCAACTCTCAGAATTCCTGAGCCAACTCCTGCGTTAAACCAAGTCATGAATTTTCTCCACCCTGTTCTCTAGCAGTGATTTTAGGAGGCGTTTATATTTTCTTCTTGTCTGTGCATGTGTGTATTTTTGCTTTCTGCTCATGCTGTGTCAGCGCATGCATGTGTATGCTGGGAAACAAAGGGCAGAGGGGGCATATGCTATACTCTAATCCAGTGTTCCTCAATCTCAGCAACTTTTAAGATATGTAAATGTTAATTCCCAGAATTCTCCATTCAGCATTCTGAGAATTGAAGTCCACAGAGTTTAAAGTTTCTGAGGTTGAAAAATACTGATCTAGATTATGTGACCTAGAATGAGGGGCTCAGAATTCCAAGCTGCTGCCCAACTGCATTGTGGGAACTTTTTCTAGCAAGATTACCTTGCAGCCTCCATTGGATCTGAATAATTTTTGAACTTAATAAAATTTTTTCCTGGTTTCTCCACTCTCGTCTCTTTTAGTCTTTTAGTTTTAGGAAAGTTATCCTGTTAATGGACAGTGTCCTGCCCTTGTGACATTAAAGGATACATTTAGTCTATTTAAATATATATACTTTCATTTACATATTTTTCCAACTTTCTGTTGGGTTGAAAGGAAGAAAAACAAGACAAGAATAAATTTCCTACTTCAGTAGGAAATCTTAATTAGACTCGATATGACTAATAATATTTGCATAAATTACATTTTTCCTGGGCAACACTTCAAGTGTCATGAAAGTCTTGATATTAATATACCAAAATTTAAAATTATTCCCTCCCAAATGAGTAATTCTTTCATATGTGAAAAAAGCTTGATGGCTTAGAGCAGATTTCCGTGATTTGATATTTTTCATATCTGTGGAACGCCAAATCTCTAGCCAACATTACCCATGGCTTTGAAGTCTGCAAGAGGGGGGCAGGCGAAGGAAATGGGCATTGTGACCTTGCAATAAAATGTCCACTTTTTATGTTCTTGTGGGCAGACTTGAGACTCAACTATGAAGAGTATGTGCTGTGATGTCGCAATGTATGCTTTCTCGTTCGGGCTTCATCATGGCTACCTGTGAATATCGATGCTGCACTATAGTCAAGGATGTTGCAAGGTCCATTGCATCTGGAGATCAGCAAGCTGGGAACAGGTGGGCCAGGGCATATAGAAAGGATGGCAATGCTTGAAGAATGAACAGATTCTACAAACCTTCCCAAGACAGTTGAACTATGGAAATTGTTAACATTTATTTAAAAAATTGTTAACAGTGTTCCAAAAATACTTTAGTTACAACTTTGTGAAGATTTAAAAACCTAGAGCAGGGATCCTCAAACTTGGCCACTTTAAAGACTTGTGGACTTCAACTCCCAGAATTCCCCAGCCAGCATGGCTGGCTGGGGAATTCTGGGAGTTGAAGTCCACAAGTCTTAAAGTGGCCAAGTTTGGGGACCCCTGACCTAGAGTATAAAACTTTAAACACGTGAATCTACATACCTTTCCTGTAGCTGTTGAGCCAGTAAATGAGATTTTGGCTACCAAGGGATGAGTACAAAGGACCTCTCCAACAGCTGCTGCCTGTTGTCTGGAACATGGAACAACATTATATACTCCGGCAGGGATTCCAGCCTGATTTGCAAGCTGCAGTGAGAAACAATTGGTGGGAGAGTCACAGATCTGGATACTTGCATTAAAAACATGTATCCTGTATTAAAATATTGTCACAGCAGGCATCCAACAGTTCATATTTAAGAATTTTATGGTAAAAAAAATGATCTCTGGCGTATCATATTGTTGCTTTTTTAAATTGTATTTGCATTGGGCTTTTATCTTTATAAGCAACCTACGAGTGACTGAGAGCGAGTTGGGCAGCCATATAGAAATTTTCATAAATAAATATCAGTACAAAAACCTTACCTCGGCTAGTGCTAAGGCAGATAAAGGTGTGTCTTCAGCTGGCTTCACTACTACTGTACAGCCAGCTGCCAAAGCAGCACCTACTTTCCGGGTAATCATAGCGCTTGGAAAATTCCACTGTAGCAAAAAGATACACACAAGTTTAATATCAACAGAACTGGGGGGCACACGGAAATAACCAGCAAGTCCTAAAATTTCTAGCCAAAATACCAAGAAAAAGATAATAAACTTAATCCTCCATCTACTATTGGAAGTAACAATATTCTGGAAATCATTGGCTATCTTGCTCTGCATAGTCGCTCCCGCTTTTTACTCTAATTAATGACCTGTGAAAGCAGATTCTCCAAATATCTCCAAATAGACCTGTTTGAAAAAGTCAGAGATTTCTGGGTCTGGCCTGTTATGTGCGTTTAAAGGAGGCCAAAAAAGAATCTGATTCTAAACCCTCTTTTAAGTTTTGATCACATGACCACGGGGATGCTGCAAAGCGTAAAAACTGGTAAGTCACTTTTTTCAGGGCTGCTGCAACTTTGAACATCCACGAAATGAACTCTTGTAAGTCGAGGGCTATCCGTATTTAGATTTATATGAGAAATACGAAGTTCTAAATTGGATAGAAATCAGTGCAAGCTGAATCAGGCTCTACTTGAATTCATCGATTCACATCTCCCGATTGCACATCCTGTTATGTAAACCCTGAACAGCTGGAATGAGATAATCTGAGAGTTGCCAGAGATTCTAAGTTTTAATGGTCAGCCTACATTCTCTCTGCCACTCAATGTATGTTTACAAAGTACCAAAACTAGAGTCTTTTCTGTGAAAGCACCTTGTTTCTGGAATCCCTTCCTCTCTTTAAGTGGATCCCCAATTTGATTTCAACAAAGCAGCCAACTCACAGGTGTAATGATGGCTGCAACTCCTACAGGCTGCTTCAAAACAAGGACTCTCCTGTTTTTTGCTGAAGATGGAATAATATCACCATAAATACGCCGGGCTTCTTCAGCAAACCATTCCAAGAAAGAAGCTGAATACAAGATTTCCCCTTCGGCTTCCTTCAGTGGTTTTCCCTGTGATACATTCAGAACAAATAAATGAACACAGTCGAACATCTCTCCTTAAAAAAATCATTATTAATACTTGTCATTCCATTGTGCCTTCATTTAAAAAAATGTTTATTTTCATTGTTGTCCTCCATATGGTCAATCTGGTACATATTTTAAATAGAGGGTTCTCCCCTTCCCCTTTTTTTCCTGTACATTGGAATAGTTGCCTGTCCATTATACATAACAAGATATTGATGCAAGTATCTGGAGCAAGTAGGAAGGCTTATATGAAGTAGCTTTTTTATTTTTAAGTAAATAAATAATAGCGAATGCAAAATGGACATTCTTTTTGCTTTACTGTTACCTTATTAACTTTTCTAACCTCAAAACTAATAAACAAGCACATCTGTACCCAATTTCACCTAACATAAGGAAACTTTATCTCAAGACCTGTGATTCTACACTTTTGTCAGATTTATTTCAATTTTTGCATTTAATCTTTCATTTGTAAACATGCAAAAATATAAACAAAAGGCCAAGATTAAAAAGTTGAACAAAAAGAGGCTTTAAATCTAAAATATGTGATAGAAATGAGAAAAAGAGTATATAAAAAAATCACAGGGCAAAAAAATATACCATTTGCCAAGGTACACAAATTAGAAACCTTGATCTTTGTACCATGGGTTCCAAAGACAAGTTCACACATTGAGCAAGCAACAATTTGCTCAGTGAAAATTCAATCAATGAACTTCAAGTGGCTACATTGATACAATACACTAACCTGAAAACTATGATTTATAATTTGGGGTGACTGGATTTATACTATATTTATCACACAAGACCCGAAGCAATCAAATCACATTATAGCTATACAGTATGCAATGAAAGATCCTAGCCCATGGAGTCTTTGTATTCTTTGAACTTGGCTAGCCAGGTAATTAAATGTCGGTAAGTAAACCACCAAACTCAGGGAGCACAAAGGACTCCACTGTTTAGCTTGAACTATATATATATATTCTCTTCTATTAGAACCTAGCCCAGTAATGGCGAACCTTTTAGAGACCGAGTGCCCAAACTGCAACCCAAAATCCACTTATGTATCATCGGGTGCCGGGTGGGCATGGCCCATTGGGTGGGTGTGGCCCATTGGCTGGGCGTGGCTGCGGTGGTAACGGCAGACTGGGTGGGACTAAAAAGTTCAATCAATCAATTCCAACTTTGCAAGATTTTTTTTTCCCGTGAGAAGTTGAAATTGACTGATTGATTGAACCTTTTTTTTTTTTGCACACGGCGGCGGAAGCCTAAAGCGAAAAGGTTTTATAAAACCCAGCTGAAGGCCTAGGACTGGGGTGACGGCACGCGTGCCCCCAGAGAGGGCTCTGAGTGCCGCCTCTGGCACCCGTGCCATAGGTTCGCCACCACTGACCTAACCCAATTCTTCTCTGTAAGCATCTTGTCTCTTAGGCTGTTTCCTTCTGGCTGAAATAACCGTTTATTTGCCTGAATAGAAAGGAGGAAAAAAACACCCCTTGATGAGATGGTTTGCAAGGAATAACCCTCTAGCAGGGGAAGGATTAAGCAAGGCATGCCATTTCTGTGTTGTAAAAATCTGGATGATCACCAGATGGCAGCAAAATGATCACATTTTCACCAGATTTTTAAACCAGATCTTTAATTCTATGTTTTACTGAATTTTTGAATAAAAGCAGCAAACTCACTTGTTAAACCCACAATGTAATAAAGTTCCATGCAGGAGGCATTAACATTTCACCAACACTATATAGATAATCTATCTCAGCTATTAATTTGGAAACATTATATGAAGGTGACACAAAGTAATTACTAGAAGGATATATAGAAATGCATTTTCCATTCCTTTCTTTTAGTAGGAGTCACTTCTTTTTCTTACATA